TTATTATTAGCTATCTTCTTATTAATATTTCATAAAATTTTTTCGTAAAATGATTTGCAAAAAGTTACTTTTCTACCAAAAAAGGTTACCTTCTCTTGGTCCTTTACGCACAAATAATAAGAAGAGGGCAATGAGAAGGCAATATTTCTTGTAGAAACGAAAACGACATAACTTTTTAAAATTGTTCGAATCAGTTAATGAAAACTCAACTTAAAACGTACCTTGCAGCAGATGGGACTAGTTTGTAGCTAACTATTAACTAACTAGTAGTCGACTAGTAGTAGCTATTTATTAACTATTTCCTTTGGCCATAACTAACTACTTTTGAAGGGCGATGAACGCAAAATAGTGAGAACTGGTTTCCTTTCCATAAGATATCTACTAACTTGTGGTTAACTAATTTTGGACATAAACTATCTATAAACAAGTAAGAAAGTCTAAGTTCGGGCGGAGCCGAACATTAAATACCCGGCGCAAGTATTAAATATATGTTTTTTCACCTTTCCGAAACCTTCCGCTAGATGGTAAGCCGGGGTGTATCAATTTTGAGTAAATTAGCGTCCTTCAATTTCGAAATATTGAAGTTTCAAGCATTTCTGAANAAATTATTGTAAATATCAATTTTGAGTGAATTATCTTCATTAGTTACTAAAATATCGCAGTTTTCGTATTTCTGGAAATTACCGTTATATGGTAAGTGGGCGTGGTTAAAGTCCGATTTCGCCCATTTTCAATACCAACCTACCTTGGATTAAGGGAAACCTACGTACAAAATTTCGTTGAGATATCTCAATTTTTGCTCGAGTTATCGTGTACACGGACGGACGGACAGACGGACGGACAGACAGACATGGCTTAATCGATTTCTTTTTTCATCCTGATCATTTATGTATACATTTGTCTATATCTATATCGATTCGTTTTGGCTGTTACAAACAACCGTTATGTGAACAAAATTAATATACCCTTGTGCACAAGTGCGCTCGGGTATAAAAAAAGAATTTTTAAATTTCTTATATTTTTATTTATTTACTTATTTTATTTAACATTACATATTTGCTTATTTGTGTACACGTTTTTTTGTAGGTGTTCTCATATTTGAATTTGATCAGACGTAACATCAAAATGATAATATAAAATTTCGTCCTTTATTTTATTTGTCCTGAATATGGCAAAGAATCTGCAAGTGCAGAAAATAAATTGCATTGAAAGTAATTTTTGTATGAGGATATTGAAATGGAAGCTTGTAAAGAAAACAAACTCCCGATAACGTATGCATGAGTCCTGCACGACTTTACAACTAGTGATGTGCTGAGTTGCCGGTACTCATACTTCAGAAAGATTTCGGTACCCTATACTTCCTTTTCGGTACCCAATAATAACATAAATGGAGCTTTTTGACATAATTTTCAATAGAATATCTGTCAAAAAAGTGACATCAACTTTCTTTCGACTATGAATATGCTTCACAATTAATACGAGTAAGAAGATGCTTTCCCAAAAGTTGAACAATTTGTACTAAGCAATGTAGACACCACATATCCAAAATACTCTCATCGCCTTGTCGCAACAGTAAAATACCATTTTATCAGTTTCCACCTTCGTAGATATAAAATTTAAGAAAATTGTTCTGACGGAAGAAGGAAGTCTTTCAGGCCTACAAAGACAACATCGTCCGATTTATCTAGAAAAAAATAAGGAAGAGTTTCTCTGCATTGTGGTGATGGAAAATAGAAATTAAAACCTTTGTTAGCCACTACGCTTGCTGTTGATAGGCTAGGCTCTCCTAAACCGCTTTTAGTTTTAGTCTAAATACGTTCTTATTGGAAGCCTAAACGTTTCGGTTCCGAGTATCAAAAGTATTGGATACTTTTTAAAACGGTACCAAGTATCGATCAATACTTCAAACTATCGGCTCAGCACATCACTATTTACAACTAACTTAACATTGATAATTAAAATTTAGTTATTTATCGGAATCCCGCAAAAAAGCTAACTACAAATTGGTTATTTTAATCAATGGATAATCTTTTTCTGCAGAGTAATACAAAACAAATTGCACATAAGTACATTTGACGGTACTGCTAAGTACGAAGTACAACGGCTCAAAAAGAAGAACTGGAGATACTTCCGAAAGAAGTGCGGTTGGTCACATTATGTATGCATGAATATACATATGTACTTATGTAGTAGAGGTTTACGCCGACAGGCTTTGCGGCGGCGGCGTGGTCAACTTCAAAAAGAATCGGCAGCGGCGGCGACGCCGGCGCTACTGCCCATAAGGTAGATTCCAAAGAGCCATGAGGCTACTAATCTTATCATGTCATCTCGTCAGCGTTAGGCATTCACCATGCCAATTCAGATTATAATTCTATTTAATTCATTCATTGAATTAGTTTTAAATTTAAATTACGTTACTTCCTACTTGAATTAAAATGTTGAGTGCCTGACGCTGATGAATGGGCGAACAGAAGGTCTGAGGTATACACATCCATACACACATGGCTCTGTATGCTGTCTACAGAGCCGTATGTATTAATTAAATTTAAAGAAATTAAAAAGTTTTTAAAGTTAAGTTATTGGGGTAATTTATGTCGCTATCAATAAATTTTTGCAATAATCTTATCAACCGTTATGATAAATTACGGAGTTCTTATGATTTTTTGCGGATTACATATTGAAAACAAGGTTGGTCTACTTTTTTCCATCAACTCGAACCAGACCCACTGTTTAAAAAAATGGCTTAGAGATGGTAAAAATTTCCAGGCGCCAAATTTTCTAAGGAGAATCGAATGTAATGAAAAATAAAACTAATTTTTACCAAAAAGGGGGAACTTTAATCCTTTGTAGAAAACATTGCGTTGCGAGGGAGCAAAACCTTCCTGGGGTTTGACCACCACTAAGGAATGCTAACGTAATTTTTGCACATCCACCTAGTACTCGTATACGTATGTGGGAACCCAGAATAAAATACCTTACGAATGTAAAAAGTAACAAAAAAAAAGTGTTTGCTCTTTATTGAAAGTCTGTTTAAAATATTAAAAAAAAAATACTTAGGAAAATCAACTTGTATTTGTTTTATCCCTAATAATTGGAGAGTTAGATGGGTGAGTTAGATGAACAGAAGCTGCTTCTGCCAAAACTGCTTTCTGAGATATTGACGTTAAAGTATTTGATGTGTTATAACCAGGGAACGGATTTTTAGGACCTAAAAGGCAAAATAAAATAACGAAATAGGCTGGAAAAGGCAAAATAAAATAGCGAAAAAGGCAGGAAAAGGCACTAGGTATTGCAAAAAAGGCAAAAAAAGGCAAAACAAAATAGCGAAAAAGGCAGGAAAAGGCACTAGCTATTACAAAAAAAGCAAAATAAGGCACTAAAAAAGACAGAAAATACGAAGAACAATCAAAAAATACATTTATTTTAGAAATGTTTATATTACAAGTAAAAAGAGAAAAACTATGAAGTAGTTTCATTATATGAAAAATTTGTACTTTGAATCTTTGACTATTTTATCCTTTCGAGTTTCTAACTCATAAATTTTTAATCTGTATAGTTGTGGTAACATTGAACCACAAGATGCGTTTTGAAGTTTTCTGGCAGCATTTTCATTCGATTTTCGCGAAGAAAAGCTTTGAATGTACTTAATGTGCGCTCGACGTAAGTTGATACAAGTGGAGCCCAATTTAAATATGGAACGTTTGAAACGTTCATATTATCAGGAATAAGGGCGTTTTCCTCGCCTTTTACAATTTTATCTACACCCTTTATTGTCTCCAAGCCTACGTTAGCTGAGAAAACGGCTTTGAATTTTTCCAACACCAATTTGCNTCCTATAAGCCGCATGGGCATGTGCATATTTTTTAATCTTAAAAAAAATTGTAAATGCTATAATCACTTTTTTAAAGGTAGAAAAGGCAAAAAAAGGCAAATACCTTAAAAAAGGCAAAAAAGGCAACATCAAATGTGTATATATGGAATCGGAAATCTAAATCGTGGACATTGTTAATCGAATATACTCTATCTCTTTAGCAGAAAAAAAGGCAATTTCCATAAAATCCGTTCCCTGGTTATAACTTTCTGGTTGTTGTAGTATGTGTATAAAATAATAGTATTGTTGTAGTATTGGAAAGAGTTGTCTACTGCGAAAAAAATTGCTAGATTACCAGCATTCGACCCTAATCTAACTGTAATAAACGATTTCGATCGAAAATCAGGTTACCTATGTTTTTTCTGATTTACGCTCTTTTTGGAAAAATAAAGGAGATCATATTCTTATCCAGTGTTCCAAATTATGCAAAAAAAACTCCTTTAAAATGTTATTTTCATTTCGTAAAATTGTGTTTTTATACGAGTAGTATTTAGTTCCTTCAAACGATGTATTTCAATGTACATACATCATGAAAATTTTGTACAAAATTCCTTAGGCGCCGAACGCCGCCGCCGCCGCCGCCGCGCCGATATTTTCGTAACTCGGCGGCAGCGTGGCTCGGCGGCGTATACCTCTAGTATGTAGCATTAAAAAATGCAATTCAAATTTACTTCAGCGGTAAAATAAATTTTAACGCAAGAAAGACGCGGACGGACGTACTGCGTTCGTGTTTGTTTACATTTACACACGGATGTCGGCTACCCCTACTTATGTATGAAACAGCAGTGGGAGCGGGGACTGAGTAAGAATTAGCAACACAACAGACAGAAGACAGTTAATAATTTTGAATGAACAAAAAAAGAAACGACATGCAGATAAACAGCCACAAACCGGTCATTAAACCAATTGACAATGCTACAGGCAAAACGACCGCAGGCCGCTGGAGATGGGCGACTAATTGTTGAAGGCGTAAGCGCTGTGCGCGGTTTTAAGCTACACAGTTGCGGTTAAAGTGAAGAGTTGCTTCCAGTACTGAACAGAGTTTCGTAACGTTAGTACCGCAAAGTGCTAGGTTAAGGCAACATCGGCCAGAGTGTAGTTAATTACTTTGTTTCCGCGACCGCAGGCAATGAGTGGTTTCATAGAGATGCAGCGGGCATGCGCAACAGTAAACAAGAACGTTAAGTTGTCGGAAAGTAAGTACAGGTATAGTATTCGAGTGCATAAAACATTTCAAACGACGGCGATATTAAATTATAAATTTTCGTATTTCTAATATGATTTATTTCCACATTCTTCATTAAAAATTATGCACAAAATTATCCGAAAATTAAAATCAAAGGTACCTAATTAATATATGAATTTAAAGATATGTACTTTTAGATACGAATATATCTCATCAATGTATTCAAAAACATTATCCGTATTGAATTTTTTCGACCTCTTTCAGAGCCTCTTAACCTTTTAAGAAAACAATTGCAATTCCTTTACGGCTACGTACTCGGTTTCCTTATGGCGCTCACTACTCTACTCTGCTATGACCACTTCCTACTGCAAGCGGCACAAACGCGGCAGCACAGCACGATCACCGAAAACTGGCATAGTAGCAGCATCAGCACATCGCACCGACCCCAGAACAATTCCAATACACTGCAACAGCACTTGATAGAGGAGGTGCGCGTGCTCTGTATGGTTCTGACTACGCCTGCCCAGCATGAAACGCACGCCGCACATGTGAAAGCCACCTGGGGTAAGCGTTGTACACGCCTCGTTTTCCTCAGCAGTGAAACGGATGTGAAATTAGGCGCTGTGTCGGTCGTCGAAAGTGCATCAGATACATACGATTTGCTTTGGCATAAAGTGCGGCAAGGATTTCGTTACGTATACGCCCAGTACTATGGCGACTACGATTGGTTTTTGAAAGCGGACGATGATACGTGAGTGAGTGTAAAAAAAATAAAATTAAAAGAATGTTATCTATACCATGGGTGCTCATAAACAAAATCAACTAGGTATGTATAACTAGTTAAATCATGATGATATTATGAAATTGCGAAAAAGTGAAATGATTCTGATCAACTTTGGCTGGCGATAATTATTTTATTTTCTATAGAAGAAATCCCAAATAGAAAGACGAATGAAAGAGAAAATCGAAACAGGTTTCTCGTTAAGCATGCGCCGAATTGTGTTGGTTCATTAGCCTAGAACTTTTAATTTGTTTTTGTTTTGTAAGAAACAAGCTTAATTATTGGTATGTTGTCGGGAATGAATTTTATTTATGGCCGATTTATTAGAACCGCATTAGTAAAACCTAAAACTCAAACGAGTTCATTTAATAAAAACGGCCAAAATAACAGCAAACAAGAAATACTTTTCGATAAAAAAATTGAAGCCATTAGAACGACTTAATTAGAATTGATGTAACAAAGTAAAATAAAAGAAATTTGACTTAAAGCAAAATAAAAAATGAAGGTTTAATAAAATACAATAAAAAATAAAGTAAAATAAAATAAAATTTAATTGAATTAAATTAGCTAAAATAAAATAAAATAAATTTAAATTCAATTCAATTAAAGCAAAATAAATTCGTACTCCGCTGCAAACGAGAGGACGGATATCTACTGAGGACACCCGGATGAAACGCCCCTACAAAAGGGCAGCCCCGAGCCTGCAGCAGCGCCCTCCTGCATCTGAAGACATGCAGAATTGCGGTGCCAGATTTTTGCACGGGCGGCAAGAGTTTGGGTTTTAGTGGGTAGCCCAACACGCTTCGGTGCGAGTCCCATACTCAGGGAAGGTAGTATAGAGATTAGTGCCAGTGCATAAAGCATTTCCCTCTCCTACGAACAAACAAAATATAAAAATAAATAAATAATATAAAAAAAAACTTTTTAATATACAACGCTTTTATAAATGGACTAAAAAGTAGAAAATAATACTTCTCAGTCCCATAGAATTTGTTTTGATAACTTTTGATTTTGAAATTTTAGCAAAAGTCATTATAAACAATCTATGAAATTGAAAATGAAAAGCGTGGAGCGCATGCAATACAAAGCATTCGATTTAATTGACAATAGTCAAACTACATAACGT